CACCCTCCTTCTGCCTCTTTCCCAACACTCTTCTCTCATTTGACCTTCCTGGCTGTGTTCAGCCCTTCTTAGGAAGCAGAACCTAGGACCTCTTTGCCACTTTTCTTCTGGAAAGTTGCCCTCTAGAATAAATTTCTCAATCTCATCAAAGAGAGTCCTTCCCTAGATCCCACCTCACACGGGGACTCTGACAGGCCACGTGTAAGGCAAGATGCTAGTACTTGAGCATCTTCCGAAACCTCTCGTTCTGCTCTTGGTGACGGCGTGGAATAAGGAACCTCACCGAAGCCAGGCAATGACTGTACCACTGAACAAAGCTCTCCTCCTCTCCCCTCTAAGTGCCCCACGAAGGTTACCTACTAAGAACGTGGTGGTTTTAACAGGAAGCCTGGTGTGTGGAGCTTACTCTGCCCCAAACTTCCGATCCAAGTAACCACAGAGAGCTACCCAGGAGCACGTAATCATTCACTCGTCCCCAGAACTTTAGAATGCTCCCCTTGAAGTATGCAAATGTTTGGTAAAAGGCACCCATTGCCGTGGGTAATGGTGTAATGGGCTATTTTGTAGCTTGACAAATCTGCTGTTCCCAGGATCCCCTTTGGTAAGAGGAGATGAATAAATCTGAGCGTTATAGGGGAAGGAGGCTTATCTTCATGTGTACCTGCATCTGTAACAAATTATAGTAATTCCCCTTATCTGAGCTTCAGTCACCTGCAGCCATGTGCATCAAATATAGCCTGAAAATATGAAATGGAGATTTCCAGAAATGAATGCTTCTTCCATTTTAAATTCCAGGGGCTGGAAAGATGGCTCCCTGGGTAAAAGATCCTACTGCCTAGCTGGATGACCTGAGTTTGGTCTCCACGATCCACATGGTGAAAGGGGAAAACCAACTCCCAAGAGTTGTCCTCTGACCTCCACGTACACTCTGTGGCACATGTCTGCCCCCAAACACACATAAACAAAATAAATAGACGTGATTTTAAAAATCACAACTGTACCTCATCGGAAGAGTGTGGTAAGATGTTGGTCCGCCTGTCCCATCAATTTGTCCTGTATCCCTTTCTGAATATTCAACACGTCCATAGGTCACTTAGCAGCCCAGTTTTCAGATTCTTGTGGTAGAGTGTGGCAGCTATATGGATTGCTTATCTGGACACTGTGACAAAATGCTCAACAGAACCAACTTGAAAGAGAAGAGGGTTGTTTAGGGAAAAACCCATCAGGGTGGAGAAGCAGGGCAGCTGGGGCTTTCAGCATCTGCTTACATTTAGGGAGGGAAAGACCTGAGCTCAGTGACCCACCTCCAAAAGCCAAAAAATCCCACCCCACAGGTCCTACTCCTTCCCCAAACAGCATCTCAGCAAATGTTCACATATGGGGGCCTGTGAGGGACATTTCACATCTAAGCCGTCACATCCAGCAATCTTTGTTTTACTTAGCCATGACATCAAAGAACAAAGGTCATGATGTTGGTAATTTTATAGAGGTATAACTTCTATTTTATTACCAGCCATTGTTAATCTCTTACTGTGTCTGATTTATAAATTAAGTGATCATAGATATGTATGCATAGGAAAACAACTGTATATACAGGGATTGATATTCTGTGGTTTCAGTTTATGAGTTTGGGATGTATCTTCTGTGGGCTAAAAGTGACTATTCTAGACTGGGCAATTTATTTATTTAGATTTTATTTATTTATTATTTATACAGTATTCTGCCTGCATGTGTGTCTGCATGTCAGAAGAGGCACCAGACCTCATTATAAATGGTTGTGAGCCACTATATGGTTGCTGGGAATCGATCTCAGGACCTTTGGAAGAACAGTCAGTGTTCTTAACCTCTGAGCCATCTCTCCAGCCCCTAGACTGAGTAATTTATAAACAACAGACATTTCTTATCAAAGTTCTGGAGGCTGGGAAATCCAAGAATAAGGTGCCAGTAGATCCCATGTCTGTCAAGGGCCTCTTTATCATGGGTTAGGGCCTTCTCTGTCTTCTCACGTGGTAACACAGCAGGAGGGGCACACTTCACCAGCCTCATTCTGCAATCCTTTGCTCTCAATAACCACCCCTTCCTAACACCATCTCATTGACAATCCAGTCTCAGGATATGACACATTCAAGTTGTGCAGACCTTTTAGGAAGACAGGCTGAGACCCACCCTCCTGCTCTGAGTCTGTGATATAAGACCTCTTCTAGGTTCTGGAGGTCCTGATCCAGTCTTCCGACAGGAGAGGAAACATGTCACCAAAAGGAAAGGGCCACCTGGACAGCTAGCAACAGGAACCAGGGCTGGGTAGTGATGGCAGAGGTGAGGCTAGGCTCCGGAGTTGGCTTCCTTTCTGAACTGAAGCAGCTAAGCAAAGCAAGAGGGAATCAGAGTTCAGTGGGCCCTCTGCCTTGTCTAGTGGTCAGTCAGTCGGAGCTGCTGCATTGCCGCTGCCGGTCCATCTGAAGGGGACTTAAGAAAGTGCTGACAAGTTTCTGCTTGTGTGTTCAGCACCCAGTGCATGACAGGGCGAAAGCCAGTACTTACTGGGGGGTTGGGAGACTGGGGTGTATGTCCAGGGCAGGACAGATATACTGGAGGAATGATCACTCAGTTGGCCATCATGGATTCTAACACCCCCCCCCCGAAACAGTGAGCCCAAATTGAACACTTTCTTTTCTGAGTTGCCTTGGTGATGGTGTCTTCTCACAGCAATAGGAAAGCAACCAAGACAAGCCCTAACTGACAACGCCACAGAAATCCCTAGAACCGGGCAAACACAAATCTTTCACCTCTGGACGTTTTTCCTAAGAGGGAGATGGCTGATGCATTTCTCCACTCCACAACCTGCTGCTTTCTCCTTTGCCAACAGCAGTCTCTGTGTAAACACGGGCCCAGAGCTGCTAGCGCGGTCCTGGCCCTGCCTCTTTATTGCTTCCTTCCTTCCCATTTTGAGCATTGTCAAGAGTTGTGTAAAGAAAGCTAACTACCTAAGCTCCACTCAGACATGTAAGAAACGCAGCCCAGAGCTGAGCAACTGAGGGAAGAAAGGTACCCACATGGAAATGAGACAGCTCTGAGTTTGACAGCTCCACAAATCAGCCATGTGCCCTTCAAGACTTTGTACTGCGTGTCTTGGAGCCCTGCGTTTCTCGAAGGGACCTACGGTGGGAGTGATAGCCAGCGCACCTCACTGAGGACCGAGTGTGTGAGGGTCCTCAGGGAAGAGCTGCTCCCTGCGAGGCTGTTCATGAGCATCTGGACAGCAGCGGAAGCATCCGGGAACGGGAGGCGTTTATGTCTCAGACCTCAGGCACGCCCTCTGTCATCTGTATTTCAGTTGAAGCTCACCAGGCATGTTCAGACATGTTTCCCAGTACGGGAGACTCTCTATAAACATCCTTGGGCTGCTTTCCAGTAGGGGCCCAGCCAGAGGCTCTGAGCAAGGAGCCATCATCCCATTTCCTAAGCTCAGGAGGGACTTCGAGAGGATGGATGCTGAGGAACTACAGACAGAGCTTGAGTGCTTGGTGCCTCTCCTCAGACCCTCCCCTCCGATCACAGCTCTCCTTGGGTGGAGACTGGAAGAAAAGGCTGCCCTGACTTCTCATAGAAAGGGTTCCAGAAGCAGAAGTTTCCAGAAGCCCTGTCCGAGGCTCCACTCAATCCGGTTAAAGACAGCCATGACAAATGAAACTCCTTCTTCCCTCCTGCTCCTCGCTCTCCCCCTCTCTCCTTCCATGCTGTTCTTCTCTCCTTTCTGTTCTCATCTCTAATGCTGATAGCTGCCCCTCCCCAAATTATCCTGGTTGTCAACCATTCCACAAAGAATGTTGTTTTCTCCCAACTCCTAAGATCTGATAATAATTTTTGAGGCAGAAGTTCAAGACTGAGCTAATAAATATGGGAATATCAGGTATGTGCTCCCAGGTTCAGCTCCAGGCATTTCTGACTTTATCACCCAGTAGGTGTACAGCGATTGCCTACAATGTCATGGGTGGTATCCTGGAGGCTGGGACACATACATCTGTGTGTGTGTGTGTGTGTGATCATATATATTGTCAAAAATAATGTTTCATTAAACAATTTCTCAGAGCCACTTTCCCGTGTTAGTTCATACAAATAACAAACACAAACATTTATTGTTTTAACAACCAATTGTAAAAAAATGCACCACAACGTGTACCACCTTTATTCTGTTTTAAGAACAAGCCGCACTCCCTTTGCTTATGATGTGTGGAACAATTTGCTTCAAGTGTCATCCTTGGATAGACCTGGTGTAGCCTGGCTGAGGGTGTTCTAGGAGTTGCCTCTGACGTCAGAGTGTGGAAGGAGGCGGCCATCTTCCAGGACTGGCTCCTCCTGAGACACCTTCTCCAGGTGGCCAAGGCCAGCAGCTAGGATGGAGTGGAGAGCCCCGCCGGCTTGACTGGGTTCACACCCAGACTGGCTCCCATTCCTCCAAGGCGTTGGATGCCACCTGGATTTATACCGTCCACACACAGCTGTGGCGTCATCCTCGCTCCACCCATCCCCCTCTGCGCAATAAATCCTGTAGGCTACTGAATAAACAAAGGAAAAGGAAGAAATAAACTTAAGATCGTGGAATGAGAAGCCAAACGTCGTGTGTGTGTGTGTGTGTGTGTGTGTGTGTGTGTGTGTGTGTGTGGTGTTTATGCACTCTGCAAAGGGCTGTAAGCCGGGAATCCTTGCTCCTCAGTTAACGACAGCAAATCTGTTTTAGGGAGTTTGAAGGACACAGTCGAAAGCTCTTGCTTCATATTCCTTCCCATTATGAGGCCCTGGTCTCCTCCTCCGAAGCTGCCAATGAACAAGCAGCCGGAACAGTCAAGCTCAGACACCTTCTCAGGCTCTGCAGTAAGCCCGAGGCCCGGGGCACTCCTCGAAGTTTCTTATCTGGGTGGTAAAATCAGGATGCAGCCTAATTGGTTGCTGGCTCCCTGGCTGGTAAATGAAGGAGGTTTCTGTTTTAAGAAGTAAAGTGACTTCTGGGCGGTTGATTCACTGCCCACAGGGAGACTGCTGAGTAGAGGCTTCCTCCCCGTGGAGATTTGCATACAGCATCCACTTCCTGCTTTGAGAGCCTGCCCTACCACTTACCTGGGCCTGGAGAGGGCGAGGGAGGTCTGAGCGGCCCATGGTGGAGCCCTGATCGCAGAGCCAGCGACCACCCCTTGGGCAGGCCTGCCTGCGGCCATCTTAGGTAAGTGGGCTCGCTGGAGCCTGCCGGCCCTGGGCTCTTTAACCACTGACCGGGTTTCCAGTCCACCGCCTCGTCCGTCGCCAGAACCTTCTGGTCTCGACGCTCCTCTGCCCTCCCGTCCTCACCTTCACCTAGTTCATCCGTTCATCCGGAGGCCGGTTTGGGCAGACCGAGCTCCAGCGGGAATGTAGCGCTGGTTTAGGGTTTCAGGCAGGCGGTGCTGGGCTTAACTCTTTAAGGAGAGGCGCACACTCCCACCACGCTGCCTGGTTTCGGTCCTCAGTCCTCATGCTCCCATCAAGAAATCAAGCTACGCAGTGAGTTCAAGGCCAGACTGGGCTGCATAGCAGTACTCTGTCTCTAGAACAAATCAAAACTGTTTCTCCAAGGAGGGACCCAGGGTAGAAAGGATTCAGTAATTGGCTTCCAGCCCCAGACACGTCAATGACAGAGCCCGAAGAAGACCAGCTCTCCGTCTTTCTCTATCCTGGCCTTGTGCTGGGGAAAAATATCGAGATCCCATTCTTGGATCAGGAAGCGCTCAACACCTCAGACCTTCCCACACCCTCACACCCCCTCAGGACTCCATTCTATTCAGCCAGGCATTTGCTGGGTCTGGATGGTGCTGGGGACGTCAGGGAAGAAGCCTTGATCTTAGAAGCTGTGTTCTGTGGTGGTGTAGTTCGAGGTGGCCTCTTAGACCGCAGAGACTTGTGGGTTTTTTTTGTTTTTAATTTTTTTGTTTGTTTGTTTGTTTTTAGGGAGTGAGAAGAGACCAAATTAATAAGTTAAAAAGAGGACAGAAAACTTGCTTCCAAGTTCTCCGTCTGCTTTGTGTGGCCCATCTCTTAGGCAATTCTCTTTGGCTCCCAGAAACCTGGATTTCTTCATCTGCAAGTCTGTGTGGATGCGTGCGTGTGCGTGTGCCTGAGTGTGTGTGTTGCTAACATGATTATGTCTAAATTCCTTTCTAACAAAATAAGGCCATGGCAGCCCCACAAGGGCATCGTAATGGGTGGTCTCTAAAACTTATTTTGTTTACTGATTATCACACATATAAATTTTATCCCTGCTACCAGTCCATTAGGAAGGCCTTTGCGTCTTGTATTTTTTTCCCAGCCCCCGGAATCTGGCATGCTATCAAACACCATAGAGGTACTCAGTCTCCTTGCACATAAACTTTAAATTCCACCCCCTCCCCTCCACCTCCCCACCCTCATCTGCTTTCCAGGCTGAAGGTAAAGCAGCTGTCAGGGCAGGCAGCCTGGGGTGGGGTGATGGGGTGGTGGGTGGGGGTGGGGGTGGGGGTGGGGGTGTCAGCTGCAGCTCTGCAGGAGGGCTGCCTAGAATCCAGCCATCATTTTTGGCTTTAACCACATAGGGGGAAATGGGATTTCTTGAATTTAGCTCATGTCCCATGTGTTTGCTGAGAGGCAAGGCAGGCTCCAGAGCTGGCAGGCAATCCTGCTTCAGAGGCCAGGAGCTGGGGCAGGAAGGCACTCCTGGCCCCGGCAGTCCGTGTGTGGGCCTTTAATGGGAGGGGAAAGGAACCATGAGACACAGCCCAGCACCATGTAAGGCTGGTGGCTGTGAGTGGAGTCATTACTAGTTGGCAGATACACTGGGTTCTTAACCTCTTCCAAACCACTGCTTTAAGAAACATTATTATTGTTTCTTTTGAGCAATCACTCACAGGCAACACAGTTCCAGCAGGTTCTGCCTGAGGAGATGTGCTGATTTGGGGCTTTGGGCATTGCTAAACTCTCTGTAGGGTACAGGCCTCGTGGTGTTTTTCAGATGGTTCTCTATATTCTGGAATAAGGGCCCTAGACTCCAACATGTTTGCTTGTGGTGAGTGTCTGATTCTTATTTCAAATCCTGAAGCCTTATCATCCGAACCTGGGGTGGCGGCCGCACGGCTGCCAGGCTCGATTTGATGGTAAAGGCTCCAGCACAGCCACCCTTGGTCTGATGCTGTTCCTCCAAGTCATCCCACGCACGCCACGTGCGAGGAGACTGATGCTGCAGTCATTCTGATGTGCTCCCTGCATGGGGCGGGGTAAGCAAAAGTGAGGTCTGGACAACATGACAGGGGCCTGGAAGGAAACCGGTCCAACCCAGGGATTCTCACCTGCACCTCCCAGGATGAAGGGGTTGGTGACTTTCAAACACCCCGAACATTAAAAGAGGAGGAGAAAGTCCTGTTTCCAGGCATCGTCTAACAGGCATTCAGCAAGATAGATTGTGGTGGCATAGTCTGTCCCAATGAAATCAGCGTCTTACCCATTGCAGAATGGAAATCTCATGTAGATCCTGCATCCAAATAATTTTCTGCTGCAGGCAATTTTAGATTCGCTTTTAAAGATGTACACGTGTGAACTGTAAGGAACGGCCACAGGAAAAGAGCATAGACAGAGGCGTGGTCAACTTCCAGCTCCTTTCATATCCAACTGAAGGACCCTTAAAGCTTGATCCTTTCTCCTTAGCAAAGCAGTCCAGCTGGCTGTCCACGAGAAGCACCTGATGGTTGCAATCTAAAAGCTGGCCTTTGGGCCTCTCCTGTTTCCTCCCGATGCTTTGTCACCCAGGTATTTTTAGTTCATGAAACAAGGGTCTCCCCTTTCCTCCCAGCATTCTCCTGTCCTCCCAGAGCCTTGTGTGCTCTGCTCACTCTGCTGGTGTACTCGTGTGCACACAAGCCTTCTTAGACACCACGGGCTACAAACAGCCAAGGAAGGGTGGACTTTCATCCACGTGGCATCTTTTAGCGTGCTGCCCCTTTGGCCTGATTTCCTGACAAAAGCAGGCTGTTTGGATGGGTGGGAAACCTTCACCCAGCCTGTCCCCCTCGAGCGCCCTGCAAGGCTACTCTGCATGAGGCCTTGGCAGCTCCCTCAGTGATGAGAGAAACCTGGCTCCTCTGACAGTGTTGTAGTCCTGGGCCCAGCCTTCCAGGCCCCGCCTCTCCTCTCCCAGGGTTAACAGGTCTCATGCCCATCTCTGAACTTTCCCTATCCTGAGTTGTCTGCCAAGATGTCCTGGCCACTGGCCCACTCTGCACGCTCATGCTTTTTTCCTGTCACAGTCCCACTGACCTTTCCTGTACCTGTAATACACAGAGACTACAAGGTCTTTCTCCCGTAGTAATAACAGTTTCCTGCCTTCCTTCTCTCTTTTCATACCCTTCTCATCCTTTCTGTCCCTTCCTCTTCACTCTGTGGCCTGAGCTGAATTAGGGATCACAGATAGGTGCTTTAGGAAGACCACCTTATGTGAAACAAGCAAGCAAACAGACAGACAAAGCAATAGCAACAGAAGCGCCTGAGCTGGCTTGAGGTTGGTTCTCTCAATGTTCTTCTTACCAGCTTTGAGTGAGTAGGCAGGCAGTCTGTTCCCAGAAATCCTCCTCCTCCCTTCAGAGCTCGTTGCTGGAGTCCCAGGGCCACTTCCACATGTCCCAGCAGAGCATGACTGTGAGTCCTTCTGTGAAAGGTCCAGCAAATGTCCTCTTGTCTCCAGGGCTCAAAGACTCTGGCAAACCCTAATGGAACAACTTCTCTCTCAGGGAAGTTCTGCAAGAGAGCCTGGACATATTTGTTCACTCGGGTTTGAATCTGAGCCAGAAAGTTCACTCCAGACCAATCTTCTCCTAGGCAAACCAATCTTGTGACAATCTGCATACATTTGGGCCGTAGACAAAGAAATTAGTGAGTTTACAGATATTTTGAAAGATCTATGATTTTTAAACACACTAGATTACTCTTTGGGAGCCAGCAAGATGACTCAGCATGTGAAAGTACTTCCCACCAAGCCTGACAACCTGAGTGTGACCCAGGAGTGGGCACGGTGCAGAGGCAGAGCAGATTCTTGCCCAGTTGTCTTCTGGCCTGTACTTGGGTGCCACGGGACTGCAGAAAACCATTCAAACAACAAATAGATGTGAAAAGAAAATTTTATATTCTCTGGAGAGTAAAAAAAAAAAAAAAAAAAAAAAAAAACCTTGAGAATCTGTAATTAAAAATATCTGATCCAAATTGGATTTTGGGATGTGCCCAATTATAAATGTACATATTTATTTCTTAAGTCCACCTGAAATATTCATGCTGTATGTCTCTTGGATTCTTCAAACCTATCAATAACCCAAAAAGTGTTTTTTTGTTTGTTTGTTTTTTTGTTTTTTTTGTTTTTTTTAATTTAGGGCTAGGAAGATCTCCCTGTAGGGTGAAGTGTCTGCTGCCCTTCAGACTGGACTGGAGTTCAGATCAGCAGAGTCCACCTATGGAGGTGAGACGGTGTAGCAGTCCACCTAGAATCCCAGTGTGCAGGAGACAAAGACAGGGAGACCTCAGAGCAAGCTGGCTAGCTGAACTCCCCATAACATTGAGGTGGGGAGACACCCTGCCTCAAAATACAAGGTGGGGGGTAATCGAAGTGATACAGTGTCAAACTCTGTCCTCCACACATACTCACCTGCAAATTGAGGAACACACTCCATGTTGATCTCTGTAAGTGCTCTCGAGCGCGCGCGCGCGCACACACATACACACACACGTACCTCATATCTCTGCCTTAAGCCAATACACACATACAATTTTTAAAAAAAATACAGTCTGATATAGTGGTGGGTGCTGTAATCTCAGCATATAGGAGGTAAGACAGGAGGATTGGGATTTCAAGGCCAGGCTAGGCTCCATGAGACTGTCTCAAAAATCAAAACACAAATCCAATCAGTTGGTGATCAGCTCGTCTTGATTACTTAGGAGCTGTTTATGCCATTTATTAATTACTCAGGCTGCTCACTCCTGCCCTTCCTCTGTCCCTGTCTGTACTATTTGTCTTCTGCCAGGGACACAACACCTTCATTAAATCCCGTCTGTCCTTGCCTCAGAGATGTCCGCTGGAAGCTATCCCCTTTCTAGCTGCATTGCCATTTATCATCGTCCTTTGTTTGTGCTCTGTCAACCAGGTTTCAATTTATTTTGAATTCAGTTTATGATTAA